GCTCGTTTGTTGGATCATTTGTTTATTTCTCTCACTATTTGTTGTGCCTTTTGGCGTTTTGTTGGTTTCGTAATATATCTGTTTATGCTCAGGATGTGTGGAGGTGGAGGACTCTTGGGGTTTTGCAGGGGGGTGGATGCTTGCCTTTGCTTTTGTGCTCATGTTTTTCCAATGTTTCTGCTCATTTGTTTATTTTAGACATATATAAATAGTTAGATATATTGTCGGTAGGACGGTGGCTCTGTTAAGGCAGGAGGGATGGCTACCTCTGAAGACCATTAACCCCGACTTAAAAAGTGTCTTTCCCTGCCTGGCACTTGAAGACTTGGTGCCAGACTGTTCCTGTGAGGTTGCGAGCTCAGCCACAACTCTGCAGCAGCATGTACAGGAGGGGGGACCGACAACTGACCACCATGATGACTTGACTGTGACTAACGGGGTTCATTGAGAAAACATGTCAGTTCATGACAAAACATTTTTCGGCTCTCATTGGAGGGCATGACAGTAAAATAAATTGAGAACCGTGAGTCTATTGTGTAAAGGGAGGCTCACATTTGCTTTCAGTCAAATGACAGAAGCCCTCACAAAGGACGGCCAAAGGATGTGATGTCACGGGTCTGACGTAGAAATAAATAAATACTGACAATACTGATCGATGGTCACCAACATGGACATTAAATCTTAATCTTACTCGCTTAAAAAGAAGAGCCAGAAAAAGAATGAATAAAAAAAGTGTTTATTCACGCTCTCCAGCATTCCTCTCTCCATCTGTTTCCGTCTTTCTTCCTCCACTTTGTTTCACACTGACAACATCTCCTTCCTCTTCTATTGTTTGAGTCTCTCACTGCGTCTCTCTTTGTAGAGTCTCAACCTCGTTGTCTTTTCTTCATGTTCACTTCCTTTAGAGCAATGATTGCCCTGAGTTGGTTGTTAGATCTGCTGTGTTGGAACTGAAGGTGCATTTCTTTCCCACCTCCAACACAACAGTTCTTTCTTTCTTTCCTTTACTTTATACTTTATTAAAACCACTGTAACTAATAACGTAAATTAATTTAGATGTAGACAGTGTTTTGGTATCATTTAAAGAGAAAATTGTACATGATTTTACTGTTGAATCATGAAAATAGAGGTTTGCCTTGTGATGTATAGTTTGAAAAAAATTGCTATACCCTTCTCTATTTGTTTCATCATACTTACATACATACAAAATAATTTAAATTTAGAGTTTGCACCATCAGTTATGAATCTAGTAATGCATCTTATTTAAATATTGAGAAATTCTGTGCTTTTTGTGAAATTTTGCTGATTTTAATATTTATGAGCAAAAATCTGTGGACGGTTATTAACAATTATCACATAAAGAGACAAAGTGAAGGGAAAGTTAGGCAGACATAGGAGGCAGGTTTTGGTTGCAGCTGAAACTCACTGTATGCAGTGTGTTGAATATTACGTAATTAATGGAGCAATTAGCTGCAACAGTACGGAGCGCTCACTCAGCCATCTGTTCAGATGACAAACAACGAAATCGATACGGCGCCGAGTCCCGAAGCTCTGCCGCTGTTCAGGCTGTCAACCATTAAACAAACCATTCAGAGGAAATCTGAGGTGGCCCTGAAAAAACACTGAGGGAGTCTTTTGTATTCATCTTTACCTGCATTTATCAGGTATTTTCTCAGGATCTCTTTCCCCTGATCCTGCTTTCCATTCACCGTGTTTGTCTTTGTGCTAATTGTTGGATTATAACCATATTAGAGTACCACGCAGGTGTCATTTTAACAGCTTAACCAGGTTATCAAAGTTAAATTAAGAGCCTCGGGTTGGTGTAAACATAACCCGATTAACAGAGCTGGTTATTTGTCTTTTGAATGACTGCAGCACGTCTCAGTCTGATTTCTTTTTCTGTTCTGAATCTGAGCCAGAGAGGTCACAGACTGAGGTAAAGTGGTGATTTAATAAGTTAACAGGTTTGCAACACATTTTAGGGCAAACAGCTCTCATGTAAAATTTAAAACTGCAAATAACCGAAGTTAATGTCTTATTTTCTCACAGCAACACAACACACAAAAACACATCCTTAAAGACAATCCAACGATGCCTATCAAACAAATTACATAAAGTTAATGAAATATAATTATTTTTTACTGCTTTTTTGTGCTTACCTTAACCTGATTAAGGTCATTGAACAAAAGCAAAAGTATTCCAATTTCAGACACATTATTTAAGGACATTTTGTAGTGTAATCATTGAGTTTTATCTAAATCTGCTCTCATATCTAGTTGTAAAAAGAAGCACGAGAATGACCTCGCGAGAAAAAGAGCATTGTTTATTTGTTCAAATGCTTAAAATTACATGTGTTTAAATTTTCTGATTAAGTGACCTCTTGTTACCATGTGCGCAAAGTCTGTCCTCTCCCAGAAGCAAATAAGGAAGTAGCATGACATTACTACTTTAGCTCTGCATGAAAAAAAACTCTAACTCCTCATTCATTTAAATGAGGCAAGTTTAGTGATGCAGCAAGCAAGGGTGCCGATGCAGAGGACCCGGCAAGAAAGTTAAACCAGGTTTCAACTTTTGCCAAAACGTAACATCATCTAGCAAGAAGCTGCCTTGGTTAATCACATATGTGCAAACCCACGTTCTGGGTAGATCACTTAATGACGTGAACGCCTTATTCTACTGTTGACCTCTCTATCGTTGCAACAAAAGAAAAATAGGTGCCCCAGTGATAACTTCCTATAGTAGTAAAATCTTCTCTCAGAGTATTATACTGCAGAACCTCTTAGGGAGGATTTTGGGTAAACAAAATGACTTCAGCGCCGGAGACTGCAGTTTACATCCCATCTTTTACAAACACTCTACACTGGTTTATTCTAACTATGAAGGTGATCTTTCTTAACCGTAACTAATTACTTTAATACTATGAATCATTCTGAAAGGTACTGATAAATTACTTATTTGTCCTGTTTTTGAAAAATTCACAGATGGAGGGAGCCCCAGTGACAACCATGGCGCCAACATGACAGAAAGATGATGTATGTGGTTGACATTTCTGCGGTATAACATGGAGGCGGCGGCTGCGCTCATCAATCAGGCTATGATCTCTGTAGCGTTCATCAGCAGGAATATAAATCAAATATTTCTAAAAACAAGCAGTGTAATCAGCTTCATCCAAACACAGTCTGATTTTGGTTAATCTAAACAAAGTGAGTGTTGATGATGTAGGCTACTTTGCATTAGGTGCATTTTATGTTGTTGAATTTGACAACATAAAATGTTTCAGCAAACTAAAGCATCACAATCGAAAAGTGAGCTGCCATTTTGCCAAAGTTCAACTATCACACACACACCAAAGCACAACAAACCTACATCTACGTTTGTATAGTGGACAGAAACATCTTGATTCACATTCTTTGGCAGTTTTCAAAAGGCATCCTAGAAAAGTTTGGAAATCGCTGACTGAAGACAAGCACATACAGAGAAAGTAAAACTAACACCAACACTTTACAACATCCTTACAGCGTAGAGGAGCACAATTTGCATGAAATATGTAAAAACAGAAAAGACAAACAAATAAACAAACAGGCGTTCTGCAAACAAAAAAAAACAGAGAAAAGGCGACTGGTGATGAACTGGAATCAAACCGCTGGTGACATTTTCAGAGTGAACTCATTCAGCCTTGAGACAAAAGAATCATAAAGACAAAAGATCCTCCAACGCTGCCGTCACGTTCACCTCTGACAGACACACAGAGATGCCGTTCATTTGTTAACATTTAATTATCTGCTGATATTTTACTGTTTGCTTTGATCCAGAATGTCTTTCATCCATCCCTCCATCACCAATCCACGCAGTTTTCATCCTAAAAGTATTCATCCATGCATTCTCCCAGAGGTGGAGGAGTATTAAGATCATTTACTTAAATAAAGGTATTAATACCAGACTGTAAAAATGTATGTAACTGGAAACCTGAACTATTGTGTGGAAGGTTTAGATTATTAACAAGAAATTAAATTAACTAATAGGGAAAGCAGCAACTATTCACATTTGAGAAGCTGGAGCAGTTACATTCATTAGACGTTACATTCCACCACTGCTTTCGTTACCATCATCCGTCTATCCATCTGTCCATTCCTACATCACTGCATGAATCACACGCATATTTCTTCGTCCATTATCTTTCCATATCTCCACCCATCCAAACATCTGTCAGCCACTCCTTTCTCCAATATTCATCACTCCATTATTTTATCCCTAGTTCATTTATCATTTCCATATTTTTCTTCCTGTCCCCTTATCCATCCACCTGTTCATCCATCCATCATCTATCAAGCATCCATGTATATTTTCTTTTTGCCCCCGTTGCGTTGGTCACTTATCCACCTAATAACTTAATCTATCACCCACTCTTCTTCCTATTTATTCTTTATGCAGCTGTTTTGTTAGTCACTTAATCATCCATTCACTCCATCTATCAGCTCTACTGCCAACTTATCTGCCCATCCATCCATCAACCACTTCATCCATTTAGTTCACCATTCTTCTATATAAAAAAAGGGAGCAAATTAGAAGAGGGCAATTATCGACCAGTTTTGATTTTGGGAGTTGTATTGAAAGTCTTGAAACAAATAAATAACAATTTTAGTAATTCTGATTTGTTTTATGAAATGCAGTCTGGTTTCAGAATGTCTTATTCTACGGATACGTGTTTATTATATTTGACAGACTATTTAAGAAGAGAGATCGACTTGGGTAAACTATGTGGCATGGTATTGTTAGAGCTCCAGAAAGCATTTGATACCGTGGACCATCAGATTCTGCTAATTAAACTAAAAGCTCTGGGTTTTAACAGTATGGCATGCAAATGGATTCAATCATACTTGACTGAGAGGCATCAAAGAGTTGACATTAACAGCACTCTGTCTGAGGCTAGAGAAATAACATGTGGTGGGCCGCAGGGTAGTGTCCTGGGTCCATTGCTCTTTCTCCTGTATATAAATGGCATGAAATCTTTTCTCTACGTGGACGATTCAGCCTTGGTGTTCTCCCATAAGGGTAAGATAGTTATTGAGAACCATTTAAGTGATGAGTTAAAGAACATAAGCGAATGGCTGATGGAGAATAAATTGTCTTTGCATTTAGGGAAAACTGAATCTATTTTATTTAAAAAAAAAAAAAATAGGTTGAGTAGGACACCAGAGCTCAGAATTTCTGTGGGTGGTACGAGCCCGTTCTCATCTCAGGGCGTCATATACCGACGATTTGAGAAAGAGTGACAAAGCGTAGTTATTTGAGACGCACCGGGTCTCTGAGACATTTACAGAAGCTCTGGGGCGGCCTGTACAGGCCGGAAGTGCTAGCTAGCTAGCTACGTTCGTGATAAAGATGTTGACAGCCCCACGAAGCACATACCCTTACCAAAACCATCAGAAAAGTTTCTACCTAAACCTAAGTCACTGACTTTATGCATGTCAACCGGCTAACAGCTGCGCACATCAGCCTCACGGCCGAAAAGGTAGGGTTAGCCTCCCTTGTGTTGCTGCAACGTAGCAAACGGGGGCGTTTCATACGGACGCTGAAGGGTACCTTTAGCGTAAAATCCTTACGCTTTGTCACGCTGTCTGAAAGCGTCAGTTATGACGCATTGAGATGAGAATATGTTGGTGGTACCCAGACTGAAGTTAAAACTTGTGTTAAATATTTAGGCTGTGATTTAGATAGTTCTTTGAGCTCATTGGCTCATTTTCTAAATAAAGAAACTTTAACAATGTTAGCAAATGGTACAGCAGCAGCACCCCCAAGAGGAAAAAAGTTCAACTACAAACGGCACAGAATAAATTAGTCAGATTGATTTTAAACCTCAATAATAGGACCCACGTCGGCTCTTCTGAACTTAAGAATCTAAAATGTCTGACAGTCAAACAGGGTGAGGCAGTTGAAACTGAGACACTAAAGATTTTGCATAGGAATGAGCCAAGGTATTTTAAAGATTGACTATTTTAAGCTCATTAGGAACTCTCATAGCTACTCAACTAGAGGCAGTGACACAGACATAGTACCTTGTAGATTTAAGAGCTGTTCTGGGCAAAACACCATATTGTACACGTCAGCATTGGAATGGAACAAACACCCAGTTGAGATTAAGTTAAGCCGGTCAGATGGCTGTTTTAATCGAGCATGTGGTGAACGGTTGTCAAATGCTAATTAGTTTGAGTTTTTATGTAGTTTTAGGAATATTTATCATTGTAGTGGATGTTTTTGTTGCATTTTGTAAGGGTTGATTGTACTTGTTATGCATTTATTTTTGTTACTGTCTAATAAATCAATCAAATCAGTCAAAAACAATCTGCAAATTTCTCCAACCACCACTCATTTTACTTAACCATCAATCTATCTGTTTCTTCATCATCATCTACTCATTTACCTCTACCTACTAATCAATGTTTCTATCAACCTACAGAACAGTTATCCACCAAAACCTTCCTCTATCAACCATTCTTCTGACAATTCGTCAGCCCATTCATACTTGTCACATATGGATGCTTGGTGGAGACCTCTCAAGCGTTGCTTTTTAACACACTGGGTACCCCCTTTTGCATCATTTTTGCACGTGCATGGCACTGCAGTCAAGTTAGCAATAATAAATATGCAACCTCAGGTTAGACTTTTAAAATAAAACAAGTGGTTGATGTTGTGAAACAGCAAATGGTTATCGAAACGGTCACACTTTGGTTAGTTTTAGGCACCAAAACTACGTGGTTAGGTTTAAGAAAAAGATCATGATTTGGGTTAAAATAAGTATGATAGTGACGTAAGTTAAGTTACTTACGTAAGTTATGAAAGTAACAGAAGTATATAAGGACTGGGGCCTGTACCACGAAGCAGGATTTGAGTTTATCCAGATAACTTCAAGGTTAACTCTGGGTTTTCAGCACCACAACTGTGATTCACTTCTTAACGGGGTAGATCGCCATGGTAACTTATGCTGAACGGCTAACCTGCTCCGGAGCAGGTGATGTTCCAGATAAGAGATCACCTCTATAAAAACGGCGCCTACTGACCATTCAACTCTCTTGGAAAATGACATCACCCTCTGTAGGAGATCTCACAGACTGTTTTATAGGCTGCTTTTATGTTTGCTGTGGTGATGTGGAGAAACCTTTGTAGGCTATAGTGATATCATCCTACAGAGACTTCTATAAAAGCCCTGTAAGTTTATATTATAGGTTTTTACAGTAAGCCCACTAACTGCTTTTTTATTTTTTATTTCCTCCAAGTCCATTTCACACAGTCTGTCACAGCCATTAAAATAAATGGGTTTAATTTTTCTTATGTGAGGCTGAATATTATGAGCGGTTTGGTAGGGATATAGAAATAAATGGTAATATGAAAGTAGGCTATTTATTTCAGGTTAGTAGCTGTCTTATAGTCTATCACAGACACGGGTCATGGTCCGCCCCACCTTTTGCGATGTAGGCGCCGGTATTGAGGTCTTTTAACCAGTATTTGAGCACATTTTGTGGCATCAATGGATTTTTCGTTTCATTGCTTTATGAAGTTAATTTAGAAAAAAATTTAATCACTTTTGAGTGAGTTAAATAAATGAATCTGATTTTTGAAGTGATGAGAAGTTTTTTAAAGTGAAGTGGAACGACCACTTATTCAGTGCCCGAGTCTTTTAATGTAGAAACGCCGACACACAGCTGAGCTGAAAGAATAAGGCTGATGTTTTCATACAGCTCATAAGAACACATCAAATCAACGCACTAGCCTATTATAGACTAGGCTATGCCTGTTCATCTAGGCATTCATGGCGAACACGCTCACAGCTGGATTGGGAAACCATTGGTTTGATTAACCAAGTTGATAACCAGCTTTGCGGTACCGCTTATCCCGATCGTAATTGTTAGGGTTAGTGAAGCCAGATAACCAAAAGATATCCTGGGTATGCTGTGAACTCTGCGTTGGCATCCATGGCGTTGAAAGATGCACTTGGTAGATGTGCTAAGTGCTGACACAAATCTCACCCATCCTGATGAAAATGAAAATTGAAAATTCCTATGGTGCGTGCATAAGTGCATAAACATGCATCAATGTGTGGTACATTTTGGGGGTTTGAAAACATGGTCACTTTATGTTATGTTAATTAGTTACCTGGATAAAACTGAAAACAAGCTTTTCAGTCATCTTTTCAGCCAACAAAATCTACGGTTGTGGGCTGGAAATGAGAATCTTATTTCTGTTTGCTTCTGTGTAAAATCACAGAAGCAAAATAACTTGGGAAAGCTTGAGAAGATATTTTATGCAGTTTAAATGAATGAATGATTTATTCTAGGACAGTGAATCAAGAGACAACAGGACTAAAATATCCAAGAGCAAAAACAGCAGAATATGTTGTCACTGAAAATCACAGCATTAATGGAAATGGAACCAACAATGCAACAAAACCATAATTCATTGACTCAGGCTACTTTTCTAGCCTCATATATGTAGCTGCATAGATCTCCTCCTCCTCCTCCCCCCCTCAGGCGGTGGAGGATGGAGGGGGAGGAAGCAGGCTATATATCACCAATGAGACATTCATCTATTTTTCTTGTGGCTGGGTGGCTGAAGAGAAAGAAAGAGGAAAAGAACGAAAGGATGGGAGGGATGCAGGGGCGGATACAAAGAGAAAGGAAGAATAACGAAGAGAAATGAGGCCAGAGGGGGGGAAGCTGAAAGGGGGGGAAGGGTAGGAAGAAAGGACTGAGAAAGGAGGAAGATGATTTGGGTGGCAAAAATGAGAGACAAAAATATGAGAGGCTACATTAAATGCAGAGAGATGGAAAGAGGGATGAGAAAGATGGAGGAAGAAAATTTTAAATTATATTAAAGAGGAAAATGTGGTAGAGGAAAAGAGGAGAGACCTTATGGATGGGAGGAATGTGTTGCAAAGAAAAGAGAGGGAGATGAAGGAAATGGCAGACAGAGAGAGGAAATGAGTGACGTAGAGAAAGTGACAGAGAGTGAAAGAAGAAGAGGAAGCTAGGAAAAGACTGAGGAGGTCACAGTTGGAGGACACAGAGATAAGGAAGGTGGAGAAGAACCAAAGAGGCAAGAAGCCCACTTAGCAGCTATATGTGGCCCAGAAACACAGCTTGTGAAATCATGTTTGATGGCTAAAGGCTCTCGGTCAAAACTTTCAGAATACCACAAAAAAGCCTAAAAACTGAATGCAGAACACTTTTACTTGATGCAGCTAAACCAAAGGCAACTTATAGTTTACAGATAGTGGTGTTTTCAGTCATCTTTTGTTGAAAATAATTCCAATGAAAGTAGATTAACTGCGAAAGAATGTGTCAATACTAAACTTGTAAATTGTCGATGCTTTAAGCACCACCAATGAAATTCCATCCATCTGCATTGTTTTGGGGTGGACACAGGCATCGCAGTGGCAGCTATCTTCAGCACACAAACCGTTCATTCTGAGAGAGCTGACACCGGAGATGTCAACCGCATGATGAATGGTGGTACAACAGTCCTGTTTCACTTCACGATCTGGTGACTCGCTCGAGGGCAATTTGATAGCTTGATGGCTTCACAGGTGCTAATTCTAGCTGTAGTCACAAGTCACCTGCTAACAGCTACAAAAAGCACCTAATTCCCCTGGTCAACATGTGAGAACCCCCAGAGAAGAAACATCTGTTCTCAGGTTTCAAGACTTGCAGGCCGCTGGGTCCCGGCTGCACAAATTGTTGCTGGAGGATGGTCGAGTTCAGGCATTATTGTTCAATGAATGGAAAAACTGATTGATGTGACAGGATTGAAACACTAGTAAAGGTGCTAATGGTGGTGTTCTTAAAGCTCCAGTAGTCAGTGTTATATACTGACATTCAATCAAGAGACGATGTAATTTGAGGGCTGTGTTGCAGTGACAAACCCGCAGAGAGTTATCCTCTACTCAGCTCCTTTTAGCTAATAGTTTTGGTTTTATGGCACATTTACTGCGCAGTTCAGTCTCAACAGAAGAAAATCTCTGTGTCTGTTGGATGTGTAAGTAGTCATAACTTTTTGAGGTGATAATATGTCAGGGATGTTGGTTTGTCAGCTTTGTTGTGGAAATCTAATGCACTCAGGTGGTGGAAAATAATCTATTAATACAGATTTATGACACTAACGTTATCAAACTAATACAACTGGTAACATTTACCCACAATTCCTGGCTCTTGTTCTCTACACAGAATGTAATGTATTTTGTGCTATTGTATTGCAATCTGTGTGGCTCAATAAAAAGAGGGGGGCATGTAGATATGCATACGCCCGAATCCACACATATTAAATAAGTTATCCACACCCCTATTGCCCTTAATTGATCATTCCTGCTAATTTAGAAAGCTTTACCTGCTCACATACATAAAATATCATTATTTTAATAGTAATGAAATCAGTTAGACCAAGTGGTGTAAAATATACCAAAATGAAGCTTCAGAATGCTAAAAAAATTGTTGAAATAAACAAATTAAATTATTGTTTTTAATTCATAAGTATGTCTTTTTTTAATGCTTCAATCCTGCAGATCACAGATCATAGTAGTTGTGAGTCATTAGTAGTTTTATTCTTCAGGCTGATAAACTGAAAGACTCCATATAATCACCTTTAAATTGCCCTTAAAAAGGGCTCATTTGCTGTTTACTGTGTTCATGTAATATCTGTTGAGTAGTCAAATACCCATGTGATTGTGAAGGGATTCTTTTTGCGAGAGAAAATCTGGTTTAAAGTAGAAAACTGAATTGAAAGTCTAAAACAGCAAAAACTGTTCTCCACACAGCAGGCAGGAGACAAAGGAAAAATACTGCAGCAAGAATACAGAACCATGCATGAGACAAAAAGTCAGCAGTGGTTGGACCGCTGGAGGACAGAAAACAGCTCCAACAAATATCCACCAGTGAGAAGCATTTTTTAATGCTGAGAGTCACAAACCCAGTTTAGTTTTTATTTTAAAAATTTCACAATAATAGTTTCATTCTAACCTTACATACATCATATCAGTGCTTTGGATACAAGTGTCCACCATCTAGGAAGAGAAGCAAGCCGATACACTGAATTAGTAATCGCAGATTGTGTGACTCAGTGTTTGTTCTTATTTTGTTTGTTAGAGGACAGAAGTGCTCAGAGAGACAAACACTACATAATGCATTGAGAGCTGAGTGGTTTGTCTTCAGTCGGACCGTCTGCTCCCTGGTGTAGGACAGATGTGGGTTAAACGGACTTCACAGAGTCACGGCAGACACCAACGATGACCGACGAGGTCATGTCATCGTGAGGGGACCATGAATGTCTGAACCAAACTTAATGGCAATCTGCTAAATAATTACTCAGATATTTCAATCTGGACCCAAGTGGTGGACCCACTGGTGGAGTCACGCAGCGAAATAATTTGGGGCGAACTACCAAATAATAGACATTACAGTAAAATTAAGGATAAATGCTCAATCACCAGCAAATATATTGGCTTCATCGTGCTGATCTTATATTGTATTTTCCTCAAACTGGAGCCATAAACGTACCATCAAGTTTACAACATTAATTTATTTTTAATTAACCTTTTTTTAAACAGGCAAGTTAGTCAAGAACAAAAATTCTTATTTTCAACCACAACAAAATATACAGAAAGTCCAGAAGTTTCCCTTGTCTTTGCAGAACTGAAACACTTCTATAGATTGTTTTTTTTGGAAAATAGTTAGACTTTGTATGTTCAGACGTGGGCTTTCTGTTTAACTCCTCTCTCTCCATTTGGTGATTCCCATAAAACCTTAGGAGGAGCTTTGGAAAAAAGAGAACAAATAGAAGCAAGAAGTAGAACAAACACACAAGTTGTTCTATACCTTCAACCAGCAGCGGTTGCTTTTTGGAGCACCAGTCTTTACCCATAGCAACACTGATGGCAAGAAGTCAATGTTAAAAATACACATCAGGAAAATAGAAGAAGAAATTACCTTGTTGTGAGATGAGAATCTAATTTTAAAGGAGCCCTGGACTGGAACGTAGTGACAAAGGTAATCAGAGAAGAAGAGCCGTCACAGTCACTGGTATGTAAATTTGTGAATATAAATGCTCTTTTTTTCTTCCTTTGGCTCTTTTTTTCCTGTCAATAAGCGTTCAGTGAGCCTCCCCTTCACTGCATCAGGGTTAAGAGGGCTGTGGTAAGTGGCCAGCAGCATGCTGGGAGGGTGGGTGGTGATGCTGTGTGGGTGGGAGGTTTGCTACGCCTGCCAACTGCTCAAGTACAGTGATAAATGTTGCTGAGAGATGGAGAGCTGCACTGTAAAAAAAAAAATATATATATATATATTTATGGTTCCCAAACGATGTGCTGGCTTTTCCTCTAGCAGCACTATGAGGTTGAAGTTGATGTAAATATATCTACTACAACCGAATTGCCACAAAATTTGGTACACACATCTGTGCACCCCTGTGGAAGAACAGTAATACCTACTAATATTCTCATCAGCCTCAGCTCTACTTTGAGTTAATTAGCCATAAACTATAAGATGCCAACTATGCAAAGATAGTGAACATGGTAAACATTATATACCTGTCCAAACCTTAACACTGTCATTGGGATCATGCTGATGTTAGCATTTAGCTCAAAGCACCTCCGTCTGCTTAGAGCCTCACAGAGCCAGTAGCATGGCTGAAGATGCTTAGTCTTGTCTCCAGGTAATTGATAATTGTTTATTAAAAAATAGTTAATAGTTAGATAAAAGGCATGTCAGAAGCTCCCAGAGCCTAAGGTGTCTTCAAATTATTATTAACAAAAAGCAGTAAGCTGGAAAAGAAGGTATTTGGATTTTTGGGATTATCAGAATTATTAGATGTATTTTTGTCAATCGGCTAATTATTTCAGCACCAATTTTTTTGTCTTTGTGGAGGGAATCTGATTTCTTCTTTAAATGCACAGTGGTTAACAGATACCTTTCCTCTTAACTAGCTGCTTATAAAGTTTGATGGGGGCTGAAGCCTGTTCAACTCTTGTAAAACACTTCAGATGAGAGCTTTATCTGAATGCTGCAACTGTAAAGTCGTCCACATTGGAATAATAAAAAATGTGTGTCTGAACATCTGGGTGGAAGGGCAGGGGGTTTCTGTGGGTGGGGGGAGTATATAATCAAGTTACACTCAATATAGCTCTTCCTGCTCGACAAAGTGGATGTGACAGCAGGAACAAAGGATGATTAGCATTAAATACAGAGCTCTGGAGCTCGCAGTGGTTCACTCACTGCCCCACTGACAGGAAGATCTGTAAAGAGTTTAAAAATACTGAGAGATCTTAGAGAAGCCCCACATACAATTACATAATTTAGAGAGAGTATATTTGCCGATTGTGGAGCTTATTGCACGCTGCAGGAAGTCGGGAAGATGTGGAGGATCTCATTCTGATGTACATGTAAATAAAAAGAAGGTCAGTGTAAAATAAAGCACACATCTTTTCATGTTGGCTCACAGTTCACAGAAAAGTAAAAAGCATAAACCTCAACACAATTTTGTGGCCACATTAGACTGTTATGCTCATTACAGAGCAAAATTAAAAAAACTAAATTATTGAATAAAACATAAAGAGTTAAATTTGCTTTGTGTAAGCCTGATCTAAACATGTGCAATTATGGTTTAAGCCATGTTCAGATCACCATACCCGTGTGTGAAATACGCACTTTCTTAACCTGTTACTTAAACTGGACTTTCTGGAAAACCCTCACAAACACAACTAATGGTGTTGTTATAAAACCTTATGAAGTAGCCATTTTGGCTCCGCCGCACACTATGCCGTAGTTGACGTGCACCTCAGTGGCTACAAAGACACCAGATGGGGACCGCAAGAACTGTAATTGGTCAACTTGGACTCCTTGTGTTTCTCCTACAAGAGAAGTCAGTGACGATCCCACTTTGCCAGTTGGTAATCCAGATTTGACCGATGTGCTCGCGCAGCAGAAGTGTCATGTTCGCTTCGGCAGAACTTTATCATGCATTTTTACACAGAAGGATGACTGTGGATTTTTGCCCCCCAATTACAGTGACCTGTGACGTGTGCATGTAAGAACTGTTTTAAGACAGACATGAAAAAATGTGGACATATCCTTTAATGGCAGCAGCAGTGCAAAATGGGCCCTTCTTCTCCACCTGTAACCGTTTCATTGTCGAGTCCATTTATAGGTTCTATCTAGTACACATTCTAATTCATGACCTGTTTCTGTTTTAGGCCTCGTACAATGAAATGAGACACTGCTGTCACGCTGCCAACATTGTGCTGAACAGTGTAGCGAGGCCAAGATTTGCCCCCATTTCCTGTCACTGACTGACAGTATGAGAAGCTCCATGATATACGCAGTGACAGCCGGGTGTTAAAAAGGACATCAGAGTCCACGCTACAGAGGCAGCGCACCAACAGCGTGATGCCCGAACACAAGAAGATTTATGTTTCTGTGCAACATACAAAGAAAGCCACAACGTCCAAGTGTAGACCATTAAAACTCTAAAAGGAAAACTCAGCATACCATTTCACCAGGAAGTCTCTTTGGTTTCTTCTGAATATATTGAAGGTATTTAGTTTGAATTAAGTGAATTGGCTCTGCTTCAAAGCAGCTACTGTGTTGGCCAGCCACAAGTTATTTAACTTAGCGGTGGAACCTGCTGTGCAGTTAATTAGCTGGGGATTCTGGATGGCAGAACTCATTACATGGCTGATTGAACAATAAATCTGTGTGTTTTCTGAGGGGTGACATGAGGGGCTCAGTGAAGCCGAGGTCAAAGCGCAGAGACAAGAGCTCTGTCCGAGGAGACATGCCAACACTAAACTATGATGCGTTTCTGAATTTAAAGTAAAAAAACAAAGAATATTTGCGTACAGCATCATAGCTTCATACTCTGGGACAGACGACCACAATTTTCAGCTGCTTCTAGTCCACCAAGTATAATTTAATTTCAGTTATTATTCCTTTTTAATCTAGTTTAATGTCACAATTACAACACTACTTTTATTCACCTAGCAGGCTAACTCTTCATTTAAACAAGCAAAGAAAATATTCTCGTGCAATTTTATACAAAACTGTGTTATTATTTCTATCCGCAGGATGAAGCTAATTATGGCTTCTCTTTCACAACAATAATTACCTTTCTTGATTACATAAACATCCCATTGCTGTCTGGAGGTGAATGAAGAGAATGAGACTGACGGTCGTCTAGAACGATAGTGACTGGGTTAAAGCCTTTTCCCCTGTACCAGAATGATAATGGGTTCAGTCAGAACTAGCTCTAAAACACAGTGTGGCGCTAGGTGTGCCTATGTGAGACTATTGCACATCTAACCACACCCAGTATCATTGATGGGACAGCTCTGTTGCACAGCCTCCAGCGTTTATGCACAAGCTCTTCATAGGTTCAAACTTAGTTAACTTAACAAATTTCCTAATTTAAGCATCACAAAATTAAAACTGGTTTCACCACACAAACAAGTTCTTATGTAGTGATTAGTTGTTTCTGAATATTTACAGTTAGACTTCTTCTAAAAGCTATTTAATAATTAATAACTGAATAATGTCAGTGCACTTATAAAGCCAGCTAGGTCAGCATAATCAAATATTTCTACTCATTCGAAACTGCATGAACACTTAACGTAAAAACAAATACATTTTTCATCTATTCATACATGAATAAAACAGAGCAAGTAGGACCTACATTTTCAGAGGACTGCCAGTTTAATATATCATTCCACACACTGGTGATTGCTTTCGATTGGAAAGCACTGCAGATGCTTCCTAGAAACCGACTTACACATCAACAGTCTTGATAGCTAAGATATTTCTTAGGTTTTTAATGGAGCTACACGCTTTTTGTAAATCACTAGTAGGTGCAACCCAGTCCTGGTGTACACAGATCAAAATATAAACCACTGGTGGTTAGCAAACATGAGATTTTATTTTAGTTTAGTTCTGTTAAATTGCTCTTTAAAGGATAATGTTGGAGTTATTTTATACATTTACTATTGTAAACACTTTCCACACCAATGTGATAGTCTGTCTCTTAGTACTTTCTGACTTCCCTTCCATGGCTTTGGCTCTCAAAACTATAAAAGCTAAAGCTTTAAATAGTTGTTGGCTTAGTAATTTACTTTAACAGCTCAAAAAGGAGGAAATAGTGAATTTGTTAGGGATTATTTTCAGTGGCGGATGAATCCACATTTGTTGCTCTAGTGAGTATTACCTACAGTGTGTGTGTTCATGGTGATGGTGATGAAGGAACACGTCACCCAGTGCAACAGTGTGGGTCATGGATGTGTTTTTAATAGTTTTTGGACATCAATGGAGCTCTATATGGCACAGAGGAAGAAGATATGTCAGGCTTTGATACACACACATTACTTGTTTGTAGGATCAAGTCACAGTTTGTTTTGGTATTTTCAATAATTTGTTGACAATAAAAAAAGACAGAAACAATAAAATATCACCAGCCTTATCCTGTAATCCTCACCGGCTCTTCACTGTCTGTCTCCTCCCGAACCAGCGCAACAAAAAGAAATGTTTGAACACAAAGCAGTAAAATATTCAAAGTGAGATGCAGTCTCTGATTCTGCATCTCCCTCCCTGCTGCTGCACAAGCTGCTTACTCTCCCAAGTCAGCCAGAACATCGGCGACTGGCAAACGCTAACACGGTGATCCACGTCAACAGGTGCCAAAGGGTCGTTGCCGGGGCAACAGTGGCACTTTGCATCAGCTATAGGACAGTGTTAAAGAGAGGAAAAGGCCGACACCACTCAGGCTTAGGAAGCAGAAACACTGAATAAACACCGAGAGCAGACGCAGCGTTATTACTAGTACTGGTGTTATTTTTAGTTCATGTGCTACTACGTCTGAACTTGTACATGACTGTATTTTTAAACATTACTACCTTTTCTTTTATAAAATGTTATTATCACTAAAGGACATTTGTAGCTCAAAACAGTCATGTTTTAACTGACTGAAGAATGCACACATTTTCTGAAGAAAATAGATACTTTCTGGAGCATAAATAAGGCTTAAGACAAGCTTTCAGAATCTAAAACAGGAGCTGGTGCACATCCGTTTAGCTGCCAATCTACGATCCTAATCTCACCTGGAACATTCAAAGTGTTTTCAAGCACGCTTGAGATATTTTCACTCTGGACAACAAATCAGAAACTTTGTTGAGGCGGTGAGATCAGCCCCAAACAATGTCTACAGTGTACAGAAGTTTTCAGCCAAAGTTACATCAATCCTATTTAAAGAAAACAGTACATGTTAAGCTTCCCATTGGTTAAAATAAATCTTTAAAATTAGAGGTTTCCACAGTAAACAACTTAACAATGAACCAACACCAGCATCCTATAAAAGATAGATTTAAGAAAAAGGACGCATTCATTCTTGTAAGTCAAGCAATCGTCAGGAAGCACGCACATACATATAGTCTTTCAGTTTCTATTTCCATGGAGAAATAACAAATTGGCTGACTGACAACAGCAATATAGCGAAATATACACTAGCCACGTCACAGAGTCAAGTGAGGAGTATCAAAGTGGTGTCCTGTTATTCTGACCTTAAACTCGCAAAAGTCCATTAAATGTCTGAGTGGTCATTAAAATGCAATGCATGTCAAAATATTTTACAATGAGTCAGCTAATGAATGAAAATCTCTCACAGGTACGAGACAAGTAATAAGCCAGAGAGTCTGTGACTCAGACACTTTTTAGGATGAGTCATTAATTCCGCTAGAAAGGCAATCTGATATAGAGACTGTTGGCCCAGGTGGACGTGGAGTACCCATCTTGTCTAAGTACATTTAATTTTGACTTGTCCTTGCACCAAAAAAACAAAACGAAACCAACGCACCAACATATCTTACAAAAGTAAACCCAATTACCATTAAAAGCTAAATTTGCAGCTGTAAAAACCTTATGTAGAGTAACTCAAGTGGTACATCCCGAGACTCTTATTTGATATTTCCTCAACACTCACTTCAACCAGAAATCGTTCCGGTCCGCCATCTTGCAGACCATCCCAAAGCTCTAATTTCTGCTCCGAGGAACAGGGAGGGATCTCTCTGAGACGACTCTTTTACTTGTGCTACTGTTACACTGAAGCATGTCAGATAACGATTCCAATGCTGCATCACAGTAAAACCAAAAGTAAACACTAATTGCTAATGTACCTTGCTTAAAGACTTTTTTTGTCATCAACAAAATCACTTACTTGGGTTAGGTCTGAAAAACTGAAATGTGATGATTTTCAAGACTTTTAATTGTGTAAAATTAGCTGTGTAGCTTGGATTCAGTGCAATCTGTAGCCCCTCTATAAATTATATAATCAGTTTTCTTTAATTCTTTACTGGGGAGCTGTTTGTTGTCTCACAGCTGATCTGTACAAGCTGTGTGTGTGTTTGGCCTGTAGCCTGAATGTGAGCTGTTGACTCGCTCTTCAAATGGTAATTGAGAATTTAAACTCTCTCCACACTTCAATCTGATTGTATCTGTTGTTTGTACTCCAGCGTGTGCGTGTGCATTTGTGGTCTTGTACTTCTGTCTTTGTGAGGACCAATTGAGTTTTTGACCCTGACAGTTAGGACATTTTGTTCAACCCCTGATTCTTTAAAGGGCAGTTTGAGGGTAAAGACTTGGTTTTAGAGTTAAGGTTAAGATCAGGTTTAGGTGAGTGTTAAGGGGAATGTATTATGTCAGTGAGGGTCCTAAAAGATATCAAAGTACAAATGTGTATAAACAAAGTAGGAAATGAGTGTGCATTGTGCTCAAGGCAAAAATGAGCTACAGCTGGTTTAATATTTAGAATTACCAGCTCGTGACGGAGCGTTTCCATTTAACCCGCGCAGCTTCTCTAGCATTTACTGTACTGGAAGAATGTACAGATTCTTACATGTACATTCTTCCCACGGGCAGTTCGAAGCCAAAATATCTCATATCCCCAATCCTAGCCACAGCTCACATTTCTCACTGAACAGGAGAAAGTAGCGAGGTGGTGGCTATATAATGAAAGAGAAGAGGAGGCTTTAAAGCTGTTCAAGATGTGTTGAGTGTTTATTATAAAATTGGTTGAGACTACACTTCAATCACTTTAAGCTACACTTTTAATTAAAGTTTTTTCTCAAATTAAGCACTTGGTTTTAAGATGCACATTTTAAAACATTTTTAATTTTGATTTGACAGTCAGTTGTTGACTAAAAAAATATGTTGATACAAGTAGAGCCTCTACGTTATGGTAGGCTACTGAATGATAATGCAAGGTAGTCGTTATGATGTTCCAGGCCTTTGCTTAGGGAAGTTTTCTTTGAATTTTAATTGAATACCCCTGGACTAAACGACTAATCGATTAATTGAAAAGATAACCGATTAGTTGCAGGCCACCAAACCCCACATAATGAAAAACATTGCAGCAAGAACAAACAAAACAACATGGTACAAGAAAGTTGAACAATGGAGAGTGAAGATGATTTCCCTAGCTTCCAGCCAAGAAAGACGTTCAAATTGAATAAAAAGTGAGTATATGCCATCAATGAGAATGTACTGTCCCTGTCAAATAAAATGTGGTCTGAAAAGGTCAGCTGGTTGTAGACCTGTGAATCATGACTCAAGTGAAACCAAACGGCAGCTCAGTGCAGTTCAGTCCGCTGAAAAGGCCTTAATTTCCCTGAAACGCAGTACAAGAGGACAACACGGTCAACTCTGAACTACTGAACTTCTAACCCTGCACGGACGTATATTGATCCTCATTATGTTTACAGATCTTGTGAGATCCCTGTGTGCGGCCAAAGTCGCGTTAAGCCTGTATCCGCTCCTCTCCTGGTGGTTTAGGCTCGCTCTGGCCGAGCTGGGCAGGAAGATAAGACGGCAGTTGAGCCTCCTTTAAAGAGAGTGTGAAGCTCGCACCGCTTTATCTGCATAACATTTCAACAAGATTAAACACTCCATCCGGCCGCTATCAGCCCCCTCTGACAACACCACATCTGGATTTAGAAACATCCTCAGCAGTGAGGACCGATTCGATGGCTCAGTGACGTTTTTCTGATCTTTCAGGCTGACTTTCCCCTGTGTGTCTAATGCCTCGTGCAGACTACACGACTTGTGTCTTGTGACGGGAGTCTTGAAATTGTTGTGGCGTTCACACTACGTGACTGATCAGTACACACTACAGGAGCTGACAAG